CAGTTATGCCTCTCTTCCCCACCCTATGAAAATCAAGTTTTCTTTCAAACATGAATGTGCCCCTTGTAAGCTGATCTGCAATGTAATTATTTTCTCCCTTGCTCAGCAAAGTTTGTGAAACTGGACATTTTCCCCGGCAAAGCCAGACAATGAGGCCTTGTCTACGCTAGAGCACGGTAGTAAACAATTCCCACTGTGGCTGCCATCAGTTCAGTTCGCCTGGTGGGAGCCGTTTATTAACGTTTCTTCCTGGAGACTAAGCCTCCCGGTTCAAGTCAGTTGCCCCATATGTCAGAGCCACGAAACATTTGTAGGGCAAGATTCTGCGGGGGAACTTTTGTCTGTCTTTGCCATGGACATCCAAAAGCTGAGGAAGCAAATTTAAACCTTTGCAAAGAGGGCACGTGCTGAAAGCCTGCTTGAGCCATTTTTTAAAGCCAAAGAGTCATTGTAACCTGGAAGTGAGAGTGGCTGGTTGAGGAGCAGGATTTAATCATTACTGTTGCAAAAGATTTGCAGGCACCTCCTTTTTCTGTCATGCTTTTGCAGCCAGTCACCTAATGCAAGTTATAACACAATCACATCAGATTGATGTCATTAAAAAAAAATAAAATCAAGATAACCAGAGTAGGAAAATAATTTCTGCTGTGTTATCCATCTCGTATGTAGAAACGTTCACATAGGTTTGGACTTTGCTGAAGCTTGGCCTCTCCAGATTCACCCAGCCCCATAACATGTCCCAGGCCCTCAGAGAGGGGCCACTGGCAGGCCCCACCACTGCCCCCTACACGCCCCAAACCCAGCGAAGCCCGGTCAAGCCAGCAGCTGCCCCTCACCCTGCATCTGAGGGGCACGTTCTGCGGGGGGTTCCCAACAGCCTCCCACCCGCCCGGGGCTGCCTGGGCAGGAGGGACCTTGCCCGGGCCCCACTGATTTTACAAGGCTGAGCATACAAAATGTGGCTCCAGCCAGGCCCCAAAGGGACACTAATGGTTTATCGAATCACGTCTTACTCCAGCTGCATAACATTGTTTTATAGTAAAGCCCAGGTCTAGCACGTCTCAGAAATAAGGCGTAACGTTAGCTAACACATTTTCAAAGCTCAGTGCTGCCAGTGCCTCAGGCTTAGGCAGGGACAGACAAAGCTGTAACAGAGAGCTGCACCCCCATGCAGAAAGGGCCAAGGGCTCATGGCGGGGATGGCACGGCTTCATCCATGCCCAGCAACAAGCAGCTCCTGCAGGAAGAGGCACCTTTGCTGTTTACCCAAACAGCTCTGGGCTTCATTTGCCACTGAAAGAAACCAGACACCTGGTCACCATCAGGTTTTTTCCTTCAGGAAAAAGCAACTCAGCAAGAGTTCCAGGATCCCTCCAATAACTTGACAGTTGGTTTAGGACATCTCAGGGTGGGAGATGTTGTATGAATAAAAGGGCACAACCGGCAAGCCCTCAGTCACACAGAGGGCGGGGCGAGCCGGAGGGAAGCAGAAGGGAGCAGAGGGCTCGCCCCACACTGCTGCCCGGCCGGGCTCTGACTGCGCAGACACAACCGAAGGGGTGCAAGATGTGCATTTGATGGTTACAGGATAAGGCCTGATAAGTGGCATCTGAAGGAAACCAGGATATAGCTGGATAGATACAGAGTACGTGGGAGGCTGGTGCTGTGGATCCGCTGTTCACAACTTAGTGGATGACTAGAGCTCCACTCACCAGGACTAGCAGGGCTCTGTTGTAACGCTCCCACGCTGGGAGGCTGCCCCAGTCTTGCTCTGAGAAGAAGAGAAAACCCAGCGTTTGCTTAGCGGTTGACTTTGAGCCAGAAGGTGAGCGTAGCCACAGGCCTGGGCTGTGAGGTGCTGTTGTGTGCACATCAAGGCAGGCCAGGCCAGAGCGTGGGAAGCAGCAGGGGCTGGGACCCTTTTTCTTATGCAGAGGATGGGGACTCAGGTGCCCAGGCTGGAGCAGGCAGAAGGACTGGTGGAAGGAGGAGAGAAAGAGGAGGACCTGCCCCTCAGGCCAAGAGCAGCTTGTACAGCTCCGAGAAGGGGGCCTGGCACACAAGGCAGCGCGGAGGCAGCGAGGGACAGGCAGTGCAAGAGCTGGCGACTTCCCTGGTTGCTTCTGCCAAACTGCCCTGTCACCTCCGGCCCAGACCCACCCTTCTCCCCTTACTGCTCTGGGAAATCCACCTCGTAGTTAGAGGATGCTGTGGCATCCACCGTGTAGTTAGAGACCAAACAAGTCCTCGACTATATTTTCATGCTGCAGAAGGTCCAGGGGGTCAGAGTCGCCCAGTCCCCATGGGCTGAAAACACATTGCACCGTTCAGAAACCAGCGAGCTTTTGTCATACATTCACCCTCCCATCTCATTTTTTATGTAGACTGGATCCAGCACAGCTTAAAAACAAGCTCTGGCCCCTCCTTTTAAAGCTGATTGGTGAGAACACTTGGGTTATTTTACATTTATTTTTTTTTATAATAACAATCACAAGTGACTGGATCCCAAAGTCCATTTTCCAGGTTCATCGGCACCTCAGCGGTGTGAAGTATTTTATATCCTTGCAGGGCTCAGGAGCCTCAGCTGCAAGCGCAGCTGTGGCTAACGTAAGCTGTGCAGCCCCACGCCAGCCTACAAGACCTTGCCCAAAAGCTTTGTGCCCGTTGTTTCTCCTCAGTGGAAAAAAAAGAGGCAGAGCCGCACACCTTGCGCTTTTTGCTGCGTGGCGGTGCCCCAGGAGGCCCCCCCGGCCCCAGCCTTGGCCAGAGGCGCGGCTCAGGAGGAGCCAGGCAAGTCGTTTCACACAGCTGCTGGCTAAGGAGTTAATCACAACTGAAAGCCACTAAAAATGGCATACGGCTGATGTTTGCGTATCTTTTTTTAGCTGGTGTTTAATTGCCTGGTTTTAGCCCACAAGGCAGGGCCCGCCGCGGCGCTTGCAAGGGGCACCCCTCCGCGTCGGGCGGGGGAACTGCACGGGCCGCGGGGCCGGCGGGAGCCCTGCCGAAGGAAGCCAAAACACACGCCAAAAAGCCCCTCTGCTCCTCCCCAGAGCTGGCGCCAGCAGGCTGGCCCAGGGGAAGCGAGCCCTGCTCTGGCAGCACCCACCGCAGCCCTCCCGCTCACACCCGGGCACGGCTGCCCTTACTGACCGGACTCCTGTCACGTCCCCACCGTCTCCCACAGGCAGGGACCCTGCTCCGGCTGGATGCCACCCACGTGCCAAGGCTGCAAAGATGGCTTGTCAGAAAGTCAGTCGCCTCCGGGTTCAAGTCCCTCAAGCTTCCACTTCCAGCATCTGCGTTTCACTGGAGGAGAGCCAGGGCCAACAGCCGTAACCTCGAGGCACCACAGTCCCATACGCAGAGAGTCCTACAAAAACCAGGAACTGTCACGATGCACCGGGTGAGCGAGCACTGTTGAAGCAAGGAGAGGTCTTCCTCCCCTTGGGCTTCGTATCACAGGGGAGGGCTGGGGCATTCACATACACCCCAACACAGGTCGGACACTCCAGGCTGGCGGGGGGATGCATATGTGGATTCCTGACAGACATCACCAGTGGTCCTGGAAGCCTCGTGGGTGTAGGGACACGCTTGTGCTGGTGAGCACGCTGAGAGTTGTGGGGCTGCAAACCTGGGGCAAGAGGCTTTCCGGGTGCTTGAAACATGGCTGGTTTGTGCTGGCAGCCTGCGAGGCCCAGGTGGCTGGCGGGAAGGACAGACCTCGGCTTTCCTCTTTGTCAGAGAAGACTTTCAGACAAGCAGAGACTCCAAATCTTTCTAGGGGTAGAATTCTGTTTCAAAATGAAGAGAGGGGACCTCCAAAAGAGCTGTCACCTGTCATGGGCCTCCAACTCCCAAAAGACCCAAAACAGGTAACAAAGGTGCCAGCTGAGGCAACACAAAATTCAAATTCAAAAATTCAAAAGGAACAACCAAGCACACAGTGGTGTAACGCCACTGCCTTGGCCTGTAGCAGCAGTTTAAAAGGCAAATAGGTGATGCACTGAACTTAAGTGATCACAGATAGCACCGTAATTCCTCCACTGCCATGATCCCAAATGACACTTCATTTAGATTCCATGAGTTGCTAATCATGGACAAACTGGTCCTCTGCACATTTTTGGGCTGCATTTATGGACTCACATCTGGCCTTAAATCCGTTATCTCAAAGGCTCTGTTATCTTTTCACAGTCGACTAGCCAGCTGAGCTTATTTGCACCATCCCCCATGGTTCCAAAAACACGATGAACATGCTGGGAAGCAGAGGTGCCCACCACAGATCATTGTGGGACTCTACTGACAGAGTTCTTTCCATTGCAAGCCTGACCAGATACACCTTATGCTTACGTTCCTTTCTATTCCAGGAAGAAACTTCACCCCTTAAAATAAGGAGTCCTGGGGTGAGGCCCTGCTGAAGGGTTTCATCGTAAATTTTCAAAAATACGTTACCTGACTGTGTCACCCAGTTTTATTCATTCTCTCTTGTGAGATCTGGTCTTCCTCTTTAAGAAAACAAAACAAAAAAACCCAACTACCCAAAACCCAATTCTGCGACATCTCTTCTCCAGTCCACCACTTACCCTCATGCATGTTTGTTCTCTTCATTGTATTTTCTTCTCAAGTCTGTAAGTCAAGCTTGCTCATTTGTAGACATCTACTACTTTTTAAAAAGAACCCCCCCCAAACATTCAGCAAGGGTGTTATCTTCCATTTAAGGGATATGGAAGCAATGACGGCGACTTGTCACAGGCTTCTTTATCTGTTTCTTCTAAAAAAGCATCTCCTCTGACACTCGCTTGGAGACAGATCTTCAGACTTGTTCCCATAGACAGCGGTGTTGTACAACTTCTCTTAAGGGAAGAGATACAGATGATTAACCTAACTTTGGGGCTGGGGGAGGGAGACTGGGGAGTGATTTTATGTGGACTTCATCTTCAGCTGTTGGGGTTTTTTTTTTCTTTTTATGCCATGATAAAATGTTAACCCCCTTGGCTTCCTGCTTAAGATGCATTCTGGTAGAAATAAAGCCCCTTCGGTACCTTTTCTGCATTTAGCAAGTCGTAATCCCTTTTTACAACCAGTAACATTTCCTGCATACTGACTCAAGACGAGCCCTTGAGACTAAAGAGAGAAATCTCAAGAGTTGTCCGATTACTCGAACCAAAAACCAGATGTTTGTGTGGCCAAAACTTCTGCCTCGGAGCATATGTGTGTGTTGTTTGCTCAGGTCTGATGCCACGTGTCACCAGCAGCACACAACCGCATCATTTCTGCTCCCTCTCCCTCCCTGTAATAAACTTCCAAAGCCAGTTTCTAGTTGACCTCCATTGGTTTATTTTAGTTTTACACTTTGTCCCTCACATACAGTTATTTAAGAGTCCTGTACTGTTAGATTTCTACAAAAATATCAATTTTTCAAAAGCAGAAAAGGGGGAAAGATATATTTTAATATATAAAAGGAAAAAAGCTAGATCTGACATTTCATTATATTCTTAAAAACATTCCAGTCTATTTACAGATGTGTAAAAAACAAAGAAAATCTCCAGGTCTCTTGGTCTAGTGAGAACGTGCGCCTTGCAGGGGTTTCCTTTGTCCTCCCGATTCTAAAATCTTTTCATTATGTGTCATGTTCTTGCATTATTGCCTCAAAAGACAGCATATATAATCTTTAAAAGGTTTGTTCCAAACCAATGGGAGCTTGGGGAAAGAGCGAAAAAAAAGTCAGCATTTAAATTCATAGCAAAATATTAAGCTGCAGACATGAGACGGCAGAACAAGGAGAGCAAAGGCTTAAGAGCATTTCGAACATGCTTCATTGCCTGGTAGAACCCATCACAGATCCTTCTTGGAACTGCACCAGCTACCACTTTTTGCAGCCAAATCTGGGGTCTGTTCTTGGTTAATTTAGTAATCATGTTCAGGAAGCAAAAATTTTTGCTCATCTTTATGCAGTACATTTTTATTGCAGTAAAGCCCAGTGCCAAACAGTAAATACATCTGAGTATTTTCCATTACCTTGGTAATGGACAAAACATCCTCCAAAGTACGGCATTTATTTTAGATCATATTTGAGTGGTTTTCATGTTACAGCTTTCTCTGTCCCACAGAAGTGTGCAAAGCACACGTACTTTTAAAAAATATTCAGCTGCGATGAGCAGAATTCTCTATTTAAATTAGCCATTTGGAAGCATAAAAGGATGGGGTGCAGAAAGAAAGGTCGGTGATCAGGAATTTGAAAGGAATCACAGCACAGTTCTGGGTGCTGTTTCACGCATCAGAGGATGAAATCTATTGGCGAAACAAACTGCCATAGGTAAAAAATAAGCAACTTCAGCCTATTAGAAATGCTCAGAACCAGATTCCCAGGTAAATAAAATTGAAGTCTGATGTGGTGCTACTGAACTAAGGTAGTTACTCCAGATTTCCACTGGTTTAAAATTTTAGAAGGTTAAAATTCTGTAATAATAAGCAACGCTATGTCTAAATACTTATTCATATTGTAAATTCCCATTTCTAAGGCATTCAGTGACATCCGTAAGACCCTACATGACTCTCATGCTGACCTATATTCTCTTTCCCAAATCACCAATACATGACTTATATTAAAATAGTAAATATGCAAAAGGCAATAAAGTTAGACGTAACTGCTTTAAACCACACCATTTAGAATGGCCAGGTGAAGAACCTTTTTTATGTAGGTTCTGGAGTAACTTTGTGCATACTGAGCTTGAAGGGCTTCTCTCCTCTGCAGCATAATATAAAATCATCAAAAAGACAAAGAAACACCCAAGGTACATGTATCCCCTGGTGGATCCGACCTAGACACAGATCCAGAAGATGCAGCTCACTGAACAGGGCGTACAGCTGCACTGCGTACAAACACCGCTCCCGAACCGTGGAACATCGCTCTCAACACCTGCACGACCTCAGTGCTGGGAAGATGAAATTCCTGCATTACTGCATCACCAAAGATGGGGAATTTCAGGGGCGGGGTGGGGGGGGAAATCCCAGCTGCTGTTGCTGGAACAGTAAAACAGGGGATTACATTCCTAAACATAAAGGAAAACGCACATCAAATTCCGTATACTTTTCATGGCAACGTTTTCTACCTTTTCGGAGCAGGTAAAGAAGCCCCTCAAGCGCACCGTAACTCATATTTACAAACTTGATAGGAAAAGATTGTGTATACACTCATTAACAAATCATCTCTCCTAGGCTGAAAACTTCATTTGTCAAGAAAACTATGAAAACAAAAATTGTGTACAAAAATATAAATATCTTTACAGTCCGTAGGCCCTTCACATCCGACAGCTGAGCAGTGAAGAGCATCTACAGGTTATTGAGTAAGCAGTGGCAGAGAAGAATAAAAAATACATCTTGTGATTCAATACTGCCCTATTTCCCTGGTAATGAGCATTTTTGTTGACTTTTTTTGCTATACACAGCTTGTGCAAATGCAGTGAGAAACCTCTGAGTACCTTTCCTGAATTTATAAAGAAATGGAAGGTTTGAAAAGATATACACATATTTTCATATATACATTCACATATACACCTTGCTCACTTATGCTAGGCTACAACAGTCCTGAAAGCATTCTTTTATGAAGCGTAGTTTTATGAAGCAACACTTCCTATTAACATTCCTAGCCACCAAATACATTTTGAAGAATGACAGAAGGAAAGAAAAAAAACAAAAACAAAAAACAACTGGGAAAACACTCAAGCTAGTTCAGCAATGTATTTGAAGATGCAGCAACAGGGTGCCCAAATTTCTTTCTACTCTCTGTAATTTTTACCCCCAGATGCCCTAAGCATCAAAGGAGGGAACATTTGTGTAGGGGCAAGAGGCAAAAGTGAGGGGGTGTTTTTAGTAGTTTTATTAAAGTCAACATATGTCCTACTTCTAATTACACTGGGAAATACCATTTTCCTCCCCTTGTAGTGAGAGTCATAGATTTTTATTAAAATCTTCTGTGCATAAGCTTCTAAAAAGAGTCTCTGCCAGAGAACTACCTAGCACCAAAGAACAAAAACTTTTCACTTCAGCCCTCTGCACAATCTCAGATTTCCCTTCTGCTGCTCTGAGTAACAAGTTTGAGAGTAACTGCAATCTTTTCTGCACATTCATCATATTCTGCAAACATTAAAAACACCAAATGTGAACAATCCCATTTCTGCATAGATAATTTGCCTGGTACAAAACCAAGTAATCCAGATTTTTTACCCAACAAGACAGCTGCCTCCCTACTGGGGGTGGGGGTGTGGAGTGGGGGGAGAAATCTCATTCAATAGCCCAGGTTTCTCAGTCCTTGGACAAACAATTTCTGTGAAGGACCCGATTTTGGAAGGATACCATGTGCCCAGCAATGGTTATAGATCATCTTCCTTGTTTTGTGAAGGGGAAGGAGAACACCCAGAATAGGAGAGTGAGGTAAAAATATGTCAACATGCTTAAAGTTTCATAGCACTTATTTCTCAATTTGGGGCCTGCCCTCACATGAAGAGAGTGCTGATGCCATACAGAAAACAAGTGTTGCAGACAAGGGAGGTCGCCTAACTCCGACACTGGTTCACTGCTCCAGATCTCCGTTCCAGTCTCTGATAAAAAATATATTCATTTATTTGCCTGCTGAATTTGAAGGCAAGGTCCCAGTAGTATTCAATTTCGTAACCACAGGTGCCAACGTGGGCATCACTTTGTTATCCTGTCCTTCTTGAACAGTTGCAGGTAATGAATTTTTCACCCCACTGGGTGCCAGTTTTGCAACTACGGGTGCCAATAAGGGCATCACTTTATTACCCTGCCCTTCTGAGTCCGCTGGCAGACTTGCCACTTTTAAGCCAAGTGGTGCCAGCTTGGGCATGGGCCTCCACAAAGTGTCAGCATTACTAGCTTCCGGATTAGTTTTCATCTGCAAAACCGGTGGAGTCACACCAGCAGTCTCTGCCAAGGTTGTTACGGTTTTGCCATTCCCACCACTGGTTGCGGACAGATTGGGAGGTGAATCCTTCATTTCAGCACCTATTACTATCTTTAAAACATCTGCTTCAGATGAAGGCTCCCCAGAGTTCTTGTCCCCGTCAGTAAGGTCGTCATCTTCCAGGTGCAGCAGGAGAGGGCTTATAGAGCCACCACCCTCTGGAACTTCAGAAAGGTCCTTAAAACTGCCTCCCAAGTGGCCAAACTGGAAGGAAGACCCATCTGCAGCAGCGAGATCACTGGCTGTTCCCCGACGAGCTTCTGCATCTTCACGAGAGAAATCCGAGTTCAGAGTGCTGGGCAGTTCTGACATAGCTGAAGCATCATCGTTCAACTGCTGATTGAGGAAGGCAATCTCATTGAGCAGTGAAGTGAGGGTTTCATCGGTGTCATCACTCTCCTCAATGCTGCTCAGTAACTCACTTGCATCCAGTTCTGCTTCCTCCATCGCAGATGCTACTTTCCTAAATTCCATTTCTATCCTGGAGTCTTTGATCTGCAGCTTGCGGAACGGCAATTCTTTAGATTTTAATCTTTCCCCTCCAGGATCACCGTCTTTCCTCCTGGCTTGGCTTCCTACAAACTCACCAATGCAGAGCTTTTTGCTAAAAGACTCTGGAGGTTCCTTTGTACACGGTACATTCCGGAGCTGTGGAAAGCCATGTTTATTTTCAAAGAAAACTTTTGTGGGGCCTGTGGTATTTCTTCCATCCCCTCCACTGTCTCCAGGACATGGTTTGGCTTTTTCTTCTGAAAGGATGCTATCGCTCTTCCTACTTTCAAGGGGTGCTACAGCCAAGGATTTCTCAGAAGCCTGAGCACCTGCAGCTGCTGTTCTATTAGAATTTTTGTTTCTGTTCAGGTTTAGACTCATGCTTCCCTCAGCAGCCAGTGATGTTACATTTACAATCTTTGGCATCATGAAGGAATCTTCGCTTTCTGCAAAACCAAACAAAGGAGCATCCATCAGGATCCATGCTAACTGCAAGATAATTCTTAATTAAATGGAATTTGCTCACTTTCAGGTCTTCCTCAGGTAAGCTGCTATTCACAAATTAAACTGCTTACATGGTTTTGGTCAAGTGAAGCATTAAAACAATAATAGCTTAACTTTCAACTTGTAGGAAAAGAGCAAGCTCCACATCTATTATCCCAGAACCACTTGCACAGTCCCTCCCTTCAGCAGGCTGGCACAAATGCAGGTGACTGCAATGCTTACAATTCTGATGACGATGCACAAGGAAAACAGAATGACAATCTTCTCCCTTACTGTTGTCTCATGCTTTACGTTTATGCTCGTATTTTGCAACACTGGCTTTGTGCACAATACATGTCAGGGACTATGCGGTTACTTACTTTTTGCCTCCAAGCGGTTTCCTATTTATAGCACTCAGATTTTTCCCAGCCCCAAATCTGAAGTGAACTTTCCTTTTTCGTTGTGACCAAATTACTACTATGAAGCAGGAAGTGAGTGGCTGGCTTTTAACACAACACACAGCAAGCAGCACAACATCGCCAGGAGCCACCCCACGCCTGGCTGGGGCCCAGCGTACAGTATTCAGCCTTGAAACATCTCTCCCATGAGCAGCAGAGCCGGCAGGGTATGGGAAAGGGTTGTGCCGGAGTCAGAGCCTGGATGTAACAGGCAAAGATTTTCAACAGCCTTGCCACCACTTTGCGCTGCAGCTTCCCCAGCAGGATGCATTACACCGCAGACACGTTCTAGTCCCCGCTTACTCGGACTTTGCTGAGGGCAAGGAGGGTGTGTGAGGTGAGGGAAAGTTAAAAAGCTCTCATCTGTAATCCCCTAGAGGTCCATCTAAACTGTTCAAAGTATTTAATATAGATTTTCTTTGAATACCCAGACAATAATGCCTATTGTTACTTCTTAGTGAGAGAACAATTTACCTTCACTTTTGCAAGGGTAATGTTCCCTGCATGCAAGCAGAAAGATCCATAAAAAACAAAGAGCCTACCTGAATGGGGCTCTGAGGCTGATACTACTGTTGAGGGCACTGGGTTTCCAGCAACAGTTGACAGTGTAATAGGAATGGTAGAGTTAGTAAGGATTCCTTTTACTTGGACAGGAACTGTTGATCCTGGCAGTTGAATCATCACAGAAGCAATACCTTATCCAAGAAAAGGGGAAGGGAGGGTGAGGTGGAAACAAGAGCCTTTCAGAAACTCAGTCAAGCGTGGAAAATAACAGCCTTGCACTTCTAGGCAAGACTTTACACTGTAATACCATCTGAAAGTTGTAAAAATAGAAATATAGATTGGTTGGGTGATTAATAAAGCTTCCCTATGTTTCCCTAACTTGGGGTTAGTGAAAATTTAACAGATTTTACTTACCTGCTGATAAAGGGACAGTTTGAGTTAATTATACCAAATCTCTTTTAGTTAGGTTCTACCTCACTCAATTAAGTTGTAAAAACCAAAAAATTAAAGCAAAAATTAAGTAACACGTTACTTTGTAAACTGCTGTGCACACCTGTGAACAGCATGATACTGATTTTCATTAACATGTTCTCACATGATCATACCTGGCTGTGCTGTCATGGTAGTACTGACAGCTCGAGGCTTTAATTCAGCTTGCAATAGTGTGGAAGGAACGGCTGCTACCTGCCCTGGTACCAGAGGGCTCTTCAGTGTAAGCACCTGCCCCTGTGGAGTCATCACTAGGCTTGCAGCAGTTAGGGTAAGAGAGGATGAGGCGTCCTCTGTAAAAAATAAATATGTAAATCAGTTCATTTATTCTGGCATAGCAGCCTTGATGGCAAACAATATCCTGTGATCCAGCGTTAAGTGCAGTTATGGAAGGCACTCCACAGCTATGCAGGCTCCAGGAACCTCACCTACGCAGCTAAAGCCAGTCTGTACTACTTCTTTGTGCCACGTAAAATAATCCTAACCCTCCAGAGTGGCAACCTGATCAAATACCAGAGTATTCTTGCTGAAATTACAGAGGGAACTTGTTCTGTCCAAAGAAAGAAAGGAAGTTCTCTCACCACATCCAAATTCTGATGCCAAACTTCCCCAGAATTGGACAAAAATGAGGCTTGGGAGACCAGAATGATTGGTTGTTTATAAAAGCCCAAGACCACGTCAAGTAAGGTCTATTTATTATTACCAAAATAAGAAACATCACCAGATCCTTACAGAGTGTAACAGTAGTACTACCATGAAAGTTCAGACTTCTGCCATTCTTTTGTTCCTTCCAACGTTTATGGTGGGAAAGTCTCCATAAAAACTAAATACTTCTCCAAAAGAAGAAAAAAAAAAATCTCATATGTCGGAAAATTCTGTCATTTCATTTAAGAGCAAGTCTTCAACTACCTTGAGAGCTAGCCTGTTTGGGGAGGGTTGTTTTAAAAACTGAATCTATTCGAGCAACTCCAGTATTCTGGGGGTTGAGTTTCAGGTTTGGAGTCAGCAGAAAAAGAACCACCTTTGCCTCTCAGAAATCACTGCCGGATTGCAGTGAAACTCCACTGAGACCAAAGGGCAACTTCATAGGAATTTACTTCCCGTCATTCTGAAACTCAGAAGTCATGTTCTTCTGAAGATTTCAGTACTGCTGGTCTCATACTTACTGAAAACGAATTATTTCCACACCTACTGGATGGATGCTTCCTGGTCCTATACTCAATTCTGCTTCAAGAAAGAAGTTGCCTGCAGAAGCAGGCTAGTATTTTGCCCTCCCATGGGGTGCTACTTCAATGTCTGTCTCCCCTTTATGTGAAAGGTGCATCACTTCTAGCCCACCTGTGGCACGGCTTCCTTTTCTGGCGAGTATCAGCGGTTTGCCTCTTCTGTTTGTCATAGCCACTTGGGTCAGCTCTCCGGTGGGAGCAGAAGATCCTTCTGGCTGTGTGCTAGCAGTTGAGGTTACAACAGATTCCTCTGGCTCAGCTTGTTTCTTCTTTTTTTGTGCTTCTACCGCTTTTTGTTTGGCATAAATGTATTCTAGCTTCTTCAGGACGACCTCTTCTGTCTTCCCTACAGAAAAATGATCAGAGTCAAAACTATCTTCCAACTCTTTACAAAAGTAGAGAGCTTAAGACAAAATAAAAATCTATTAACACCATTCAACTACTATATAACAGATAACCACCACCCCCACCAAGTAAAGAGCATGCTTAGTAACAGAGGGAAGTAATTACCTATTTATTCCAATTCCCTTCAGAAACATACACACATTTTAGAATTTATCTGCAACTTTGATGAGCAGAAATCAGTTTGGACAAGCACTAGCTCTTGCTGAACAAGTACCATTTGAAAACATCCACAGCTGTGAAATAAACCTCCCATATCTCCTAATGATACATGTATGACAACCAGACAAAAAGTTACCTTTAGCTGGTATGAAATTTCTTGGACTAATGGACCCTGTTATTCAAATGACATTTGGAGGGAAACTCAAATACAGTTTACCACTGACATGAAAATTGTAACCTTGAACAAACACAAAGATTTTATAAATAATTTCTTTTCTGCAAATGCACACAATTAAATATGATCAAAGCTGAAATAACTATACCAGCTTGTTTCCTGCTTAGCATTTATGTTCTAACATCGTGGTCTATCTTTAAGTAAGTCTATAATTAACTAACTCTCCTGAGAGAGGATTTTTTTCCTCATCAGTTTTGAGGTACTTCACTAGGAAGGCAAAGGATCAGAAAACTACTTTGTGAAGTTATTTGCTTTCATTCCCTGCCCAAAAGGCCTATCACATGTTTCTGGTTTAAGATGAGGGTTCGCTAAAAAACTTTTTAGTATGACACAGTTTTGTCTTGAAATGCCTAGATGAGTAGCAGCTCAGAACATACTGCAGTTTTGTTCTATGGTCAGAGCTGCCACCTTCTAGACACTACTAGCACTAGCTCTCAGAACAGTGCAAGTATAGTTATTTTCAAATTTCACCAAAGGAGTCAGAGGCTTTGGTACTGATCAAAGGCAGCTGTGTATACTTGTGAAGCACTAAGCAGAAAAGCCGTTTCAGGAAGCAACTAATGACAGAATGAAGTGGTTTTCCCATCCCCCACCTCCCCCCAAAGCATACCCAATGCACAGGAACCCAAGCCCGTGGCTTGCAGCACAGAGATCATTCTACAATTCCTTTAGGCATGAAGGAAAATAAAAGCAGTTCTTATCAGCATGATGAGCGCACCACTGAGTCAGAGCTTAGCAGGTCCTTGTTTGGCATCAAGAGTCTAAGTTTTATGTGAACTCATTACTCACCCAGATCCACAGAGGATTACTCCACTCACTCCCATTCTCAAAAAGCCTTTTCTTTCATTATTCCAGCTAGTCTGTATCCAAAAACAGTCTCACCTGAAAGCGTGGATACTTTTCGAATCAAAACATCCTGTTTGCGTGTCAATAAGTTCTTCTGTCCAATAAGTTTATCTGCCTGATCAGTCAATCCTTGGATTTCTTCATAGGCCTAGAAAAGTGCCAGGGGACTGATTTATAAACAAACAATACACAAAATAAAAAAATAATTTTCCTTCCCAGAAACCTTTACAAAATTTATTTAGACATTTTCACCATCTTGAGAAACCAGGACTCAGAGAAAGCACATGAAGTACGAGGTAATGCCAGCTTTCCCTAGATGCAAGCTGAAAAGCGATAAACGTCTCGTTCGTCCTTCCTCCAAAGTTCAGCTATTTTAAGAAAAACCACAACTTTTAACCCACAATTTCAAGGTACAGCTGATAACCATAATGAGGTATCTACAACTTATGTATTATTTACTGTCATCTTTACAATTAAGTTTTTAATGCCAGTATAATACTTAATGAAATGCTATCTTCTCCTGCATTAAGAACGTAAGTCTTCAATGTATTTCAAGAATGCCTGATGTACAGAGTAAACCACTAAGACGTAACTTTCCATGGTTAAATTCATGAACAATACAAGGAGAGGGCTAATCTGAACATATGGATCTGTGTCATTAAGACTAAGCTTTTAGGAATACAGATTCTTTCAGATATTGTTTTATTCTAGAGAGTCCTGTAAAGGTGTCAGAAGTTCTCTATTCACAGTATCACTGGGACTCACTGAAAGAGCTCATACTGGCTTAATTACTCTGTCCAGGTGATTCTCCTCCTCACTTAAGCTTCAAAATACTTACTTGCTTGAGAATGTAGCATTTAGAGACCTTGGGAAGGTTGTGTAACCCCAGAGTTTTCTTCAACTTTTCAAAGAGATCTCTCATTTCATTACGTCGCCGGCGTTCATTTGCAGTGTGTGTCTGGCGGTAATGAGCAAAGGCTTCTGCCTCAGTCTTCAGCTTTCTGTTCCAGAATTGAGGTTTCTGCTGGAGAAGTAACCATATTGACCAGTTTAAATAAAAAAGGAAATGTAATGGCAAACAATGTTCAAAGGCATGCCTGATTTACAAGGTTTCTACGGACACCTGAAGATTTCATGTCATGCTGTTCTGCTATTATGTCTTCATGAAAGTTCAGTGTCAGAAGCATACCTAATAAGCATGAAATGCTGACCAACAAGAAATGACCAACGTAATCACATCAACCCTAAAGGAAAAGATCATGAGCAGTGTCCCTTCTATTCATAAGCTTTCATTTTTTGCAATACAAGGCTACTTAGGTAAGCCACAGGATAACAGCAAAATCACACGTTTGAGCCAGATTTTTTTGTTGTTGTTTGCTTGTCAAAAGAGTCTACTAATGAACGAAACAATCACATCAAATATAGGACACTTGAATTCTTCCCTGGCGTTAAACTAGTTTGACTTCTATTTTGTCTCATGGGTATATATGGGTTGGGGCCAAGAGCCATTGTATGTAAGAATGTGAAAGACGGCATTGAAACTTATGACCCCAGACACCTACCAAGAAACAGAAAGTGTCAAAGACATGCTCTGATTTTGAATTTAATTTTCCAAAAAGGCTGACAGGCAATAGGCATAATTACTAATCTCTGCAGATTTGAAGGTTTGTTATTTCATCATTACTCTTGCAGGTTTTGTACAATTATGCTATTTATTTCATTATGAAGTAATACTTAAAAAGTAGCATTAACTCAGCTGTTAAATCATTTTAGGTCTGCTCCAAACCCCAGTAATCAGTGGAAAGACTCCTCAAGTCCAGTGATGCTATTTCTGAGCCTGCTGGCCTTAGGAGGCATCTGAAGACTGGCTCCTGAAACCTGGCTGCTGGCATCCCTTTTGCCCTCATAGGCAGGCTGAGCAGAGTGAGGCTGCAACTGCACCTGCTCTTGTCTGGGGCACTGGGTTCCTTTCAAAGAAGGGCCTCATGCTGTAACTTCAAGGGCAGAGAGAATACATGGAGAAGGCGAGGCAGGCAGAGCATCCTGGAACCCATCTCCATCTCAGGCAAAAGCATACATACCAGTCTGCACTAACATGTAAGACATACACCAGGCTCACGCCCCACCTCAAAGCCCCACCCCACCCCAGCAGGTAGCTCTACACTTGACATCAAGTACATCACAGGTAGTTATCATGGAGAGTTAGTGAAACTGGCTTCAAAGCCACCCAAAAATAGAGCATAAGCTTCAGACGGATTGCATTGAGTTTTGGTTTGAAAGGATTCTGCGTTATCTTTAAATTGCCTAAACACATATTATTACTGTTTTCAGAAATCCTTCACCCAGTGCTGTGCCTATAAAATCCTACATACTGTCTTCTTCGACACATGAAAACATTTCTGCTGTTCATTATTTTGCGTGCTGTAAAGATTATTTATGCCAAGAACACAAAACCTAAGCAAACGCACTAATAAAAGGCAGATATTCCTCCCATACACAAAGCTGAATCTGAAACCCACTGATGCCAGTAGCAGTCCTTTTTCTTTAATGAGATTTGGACTGAGCCCCTTCCCCCCCAAATGCACATTTGGTTTCTTGCATTTAATCATAAATATATGGAAGGTAGATAAATCGCGTTAAGAGTTGCAATTGAGATGAAAGTTTATCTTTAAAATGGAGGTGTGATACCAAAAGGAAAGAGGAGAGCAAACATATACCTTCGTAGCTTTTTCTGATAATTTTTCATCCGAAGAATTACGAGCATGGTATCTGGAAAAAAGGTAAAAAGTTTTTCCCAACACTACTCATCTCATGCACTCTATCCTCATTAACTACATTCCAACAGCCTAGAATTGCTCATTTTTATCCCTTGAAATTAACTCTTCCCGTGTAACTACATAAAAGCAGGATACTGTTGAGCTTTCTCAAGAAAGTGAACTCTTATCTCCAATGCCATCATCCTGAAAAAAAATTCAGCTGTTCTGAAAGGTGTAAAATCATATCATAGTGCAAAAGGCAAAACTATTTCACTATATGCCAAAGAGAATAAATTCAGCCCATGACTGGTAGCTACAGGAAGTTTTTTTTTTTTTTAAATCATGTTTTGGTTCTTCTTTTAAAAACCAGATTCAATACAGATGGCAGAGCAATCCCTCCCCCACCAAGAACAAGCAACCAAAAGCCTCACATTTATTACAATCCTAATATATAACAACAGCTTCCTCGTATCTCAGGAGCTTCAAGAAAACAAAGAACAATACACATTTGAAAGAATTATTTTTTACAAAACATGACATCTGTTTTTCTCTCTCACTGAAAGATCTTCACAATTTATAGCAAAGTCACCATCTAAGGATAAAACTTGAGTTTATCTTTGAAGGGAAAAAAAAAGGAACTATCTGGGAAGCATATATCATCACCAAATAAATTTTTCAAAGTTTCTACAAAAAAATTCTTCGAACAAAAAGAACTAAGGATGCAATGTCCCCCACACTCTTGTTTGGTGCAACTGAGAAATAGCCATGACCATCTTTACACACCGCAAGTAAGCCATGTTTTTACTTTGCATTTTGTCATTACAAAGGCAAGGGCAGCAACAATAACAAAAACAAACAAAAACAAAAACAAAAAAGCTAAGCTATCCAACCATGGCAGACTATACATAAATAAGAAAATGCTTTCTTTGCTGTGGCAATGGTCCCATAGACAAAGCTTTTACAGGATCAGGGATCAAGCCAATGACTGCTCCTGCCTAAAAATAACAAGTCCACCAGCAAGAATAGACAAAGCTTGCAAAATCACATTTAAAACCAGGATGACCCTGCTCATATTCAGTTTGCAGGAAGGGAGGAGATTCACTCATAATAATTTTACATTACAAGATACACATCTCCATGAACAAATTAATTAAGGGGGTGGGGGGTGGGTAAAGGCTAAGACACCTCGAATCTACTCTTACTTCTGACAGCCCCGTCCTCAGACACTGGGAAGAACCAGTGCTCAGGAAGACCTGACACAAGCCCTGCTTTATCTTACCATCACATTAAACCTGTTGTTTAATGGGTTCATTCAATGCCAGCTCATCAACAAAATACAAAACTGTAGTGCTCTCCAAGGATGCTTACTTCTGTTTGGAAGGTCGGATATTAGCAGCTGTGGCCTTCAGACGGGCAATGTTAATCTTCTCTGAAAGCTCCTCCACGGTCTCAATGTCCACCTGCTCGTCATCCTCACTGTATTCACACGCATCCTGGAACAGTTTTTGTTTTGTTTTTTAAAATGAGTATCTACTTAGCAATAGAGCTCAGGCCAAAACAGTTTCACTTCAGTCTCAAAAGAGATTACATTAGAACATTAAGAACCATTAAAAAAAAATCAACAACATCTCCAGCTATACTGGCCAATAAACAGTGCTAAGCAGGTGGTTATTTTAACTGTCACCTCAAGAAATTCCTCCCACTAGCAACTCTGCAAAATTCATTTTGGTAAGGGCAAAACCCATCTCTGTCATTTATGCTTTTACTATGGGTGAGATAAAAAGCTTTCACAGGGCAGAGCTTTCCTGCCTCCATTTTCAATAAAGATTAAACTGTCTCTACAACCTGCTACTGTAGACTCTTGCTAACTAACCTTTTTTTGACACTAGCTGAAATACTTACAGCCTTAGTAATGGTCTCTCATACCTAAGATAGCCAAGTCAGAACATCATACAACCAGCCTTCTTTGGGTCATACAGTAAACTGCTTACATGATGAAGAGTATGATTTTGGCTCTTTCCAAAATGCTGCCCAATAATTATTTTAAATATTTATGATATTGTGAAGAGTAGTTTTTCTCCATGCTTGCCCGACCAAGAAAACTTGCTACAAGACAGAGATAGAGAACAACTGCAGTGCTGTAGCAACTACAAGAGTTGAATATCCATCTTCTGGCCATCTGTAGATAACAGGTAATCCCCCACTCCACCCCAACAAAACAAGCCTTTTTTTGTATTGCAGTTTTTAATGAAGTTTTTTTATATCATAATCTTTGTCCTGCTTAAAGTCTGCAGAACTCTTTCTCCTCCTTAAGTAAGGAAATGTAATTATACTTCCATTCTGTACTCTATTTCACCCAGTTCCCTGAACTAACGCAATCTTGTCCTCCTATTCTTTTCTGTCTTTCCTCCTTCTCTTTGTCCTCCTTTTATTTCTTTTCGAGGAGCTGCAATCTCGTCCTCTGACCTGAATACTTACCTGAAATTGACGCAAACAGTTAATCGCAAAAAACCACTTAGTTCCAGAACAGGAAAAAAAAGCGATACGCAATACTGGATCAGCAAGTGACCTCTAATAAATGCTTTTCACGGTACTGATTATGTAAAGTTATCTGCAACTCACACTGCTTAAAACTGCTGTTTTAAGAAACTCAGATTAGAAAGGAGGAAGTGTTGCATTTACTAAGCTGACCACAGATTAGGCTATATACAGCCCTATAACAGAAACAAACAAGAACAGCCTAAATTACCACACAAACACAACTAACAAGTGGTTAAGGATACACATTTCCAGTCAGTCATGAAATTTACACCCATTAAATTTGCAGCTATGTTAGTTTAAAAGGAACTCAATTTATAACCAGACAGTAAACCTTAGCTGGTAATTTCCTTTTTGACAGAGAAGCAGGATCTCTAATAACCTAATGTTTGATATAGTATTTGGCTTCTTCATACTGACTAAACACAACCTTCTGTAAACCAACAAAAGAAGAAAAACACAACAAGCCCATAACTCACAGCAGAGCTATCTAAAATTCAAAGAACAACATAAATATCGCCACTTTAGTTACTGACACCACAGAGTGACCATCATTGTGAATCATGCTGCCACATAAAATTATGGTTTTTAAACCTTGTGTAATACATTATCTCCCATAGCTGTGAGTGATTGAGGCTACAGAAAACTGAATCAGGAGGAAAAAATAAGGAAGTTTCCCTTCCTTTACTAAAGGCTACATGGGGAATATAAACTGTAAAGTACAGCAACATATACTTTGTAGCAATGTAGCCTTTAGTACAGTATATAGTGAGTGTATGCGTCATATATATGAAAAAGAGCGTATATATATTAAAGACTGTGTGTGTATAGTGCATATTTTTTGCTTATATACATTCACACACATGCGCAACACTGCCAGTAGAATCTTCCAGTCTTTTAAGAAGAATGAAACCATGCAGCATCCTCCCCCCAGTAAAACCACTCTCAAATATTCCCAAGTCTTCCGTCACCTTCCATTCACATCATGAGGGGTCCTACAAAGTGTTGGCAGTATAAATTCTGTGTAGAAAGAGGTATAAACTTCTAAACTACTCACTTGCAGAGAAGCTGACGCTTCTTCCTGTACTATGAAGTATCGAGATATTACTGCTGAAACAAAGAAAAGCGATGCTCAGGTTATCAGCTATAGCTGCTAGATCTGAACAGAAAAGTATCCTTACTTCTACAGGTTGCTGTGCACACTCCCATGTTACCTACTATCTCTGTGCTTGTAAAAAGCCATGTCTTCTGAAAGACAAGAGCAAGGAGAGTGACCTTAGATGAGAAATTACTAGCCTGAGAGAACAATCGCACTCTTTCAAAGATATTTTTAACACACGCTGTCTTTAAAGACACCATTCTTCTCTGCACAGGAAAGCAGCTCTGATCTCTGGTTAGTTCTGTATTTAGAAAGGAGATAAATAAATTATTCTACTACTAGCAACTTCTGGGGTTTCTTGCAGCTTTCCTTCAGAGCAGCTATGAACCTGTATTATGCCACGACAGTTCTTGTTATGAGTATAAAGAGCAGCACAGAAATAAAAAAAATTCTTATCTGACTTGAAAGTATGGTACTGGTACTGGCAGGAATTTAAAGAACTACTGTTTCTTTCTGTGCATGAAAGCCCATAAAATCCTTATTTGTTCCACCTTGTAAATATTCTCCCCAAAAGCAAGACTCATTAGCACTGGGAGCAGGTAGAGTACAGAGAAAATGAACCGTCTTTACCAAGGAAGCAGTGCATCACTTTGAACTTGACAGGCTGGTCAGGAGCTACATGTCACCACTGCTCCTCAGGACAGCAGGAGAATGAAAGTCAGGAGACACCAGGTCCCTGGGACCTTGGTGAGGTCTAACCAAATACTGCTTGCAGTCTAGATCCAGAACACATATGCAGAGGCTTCTGAAATTGTGACAGAGTTGAGACTACGCATTTCAGCATAGGTACTTCAACAACTTTCGAGCGCTGCCTGTGAACAGTACACAGCTTTGCTTTGTGTCTGCTGAGTGGCTCCATATGCTTACAGAAACTTAAGAAATCTTTAATTAAGCTTTACTGTATAAAATCTCACTTGAAGAACATCACTTACACAAACAGTCAGCAATTTTTTCAACAAGTCCTCCTTATACTTGTTTTACTTGTTACAGACTTTCTCAAGATTCAGTTTTAATGAACAGGAGCAACTTTTTGATGCCTTCTTTTTTTTTAATATAATTTTGTTCTTAAGACAACAGATACATCCCAGTTGCCTTTAAGTCAATTCTGTAGCTTCCCCATTGAAAAGCAGAGACTGACCCAGTTGCACAAGATCACAGAAAGGCAGGAAAATCAAAACCACAACTGAAGATTTCCAAATTCTCTTTAAGTCCTTAGTTACTATGCCAGGGTTCAGACAGTGAACTAGAGGATGTACTTGAGGACCCAGAGTGCTGAAATTCCAAGAATTCCTCAGCTGAGGAGAAGAACATAAGCTTGAATCTGAAATTAAAGTCTACTAACTTATAAGAGGGGAGGGAAGGGAAAGCAAAAGAAAAGAAGTTGGAAGATATCAAAATTACACCATCTCCCCAGACACAGACCTTCTGTTGAGCTACAACAGGTGATGTAAACATGTAGCATAGCTGCTTCCACAGCCTTTTTTTAATTCTCCCTGCGGCCTGATGAGAGAAGGAAAAGCATCATAAAGCCAGTGTAAAAAAAAAACTGGCTGAACAAAAATTATTCAAAGATAGTTTAAATTACGGAACTACAAAATAGATACATGCTGTTACGTTGAAAATATTACATGTGCAAGAGGTACAGGGTTACGTAATTTTAACAGGTCACATTATATGACAACATAGTTGTATTTCATTATACATAGAGCACTTCTCATTCTTGCCTGCTCTCCTGGGTCATCCATAAAGCCTCCTTGATGCTGGAAGCCTGCTGATATTTTCTCTAGCTTTTCCATTTTATACAGTATCATCGCTGTGATTCTACATGCAAGCAATGCATACCGTTTTACTTCAGTGGGCAGGACTACCCTGTCTAAACTATATTTGGACATCATTACACATGCAGGGTAACCCAAAAAAATATTACAATCCAGAAAGCAAGGGGAAAAAAACCAGGAAATTAGCTTACTCTAGAAACACCATCATGGTAAGGCTTTTGAGTGCTGGCAAGTTACACTGGGCTAACCAAAGGGTTGATAGTAATTACCCAGCTAGAGCTGTTCTCATGGTAGAACTTTCTACACGCTAGAAAAATGGTATGCAAAACCTGAGAAGTGGCATCTTTCTCACAAAAGACGAGGGAAAAAATAGAAGCAAAAACTCTCCACTGCCCACCAAAAACTCTGCATCTTTAAGTTTACAAATCCTGAATGTGGACATAGGTAAGACAAAAAACATTTCTTTTTTCGTTCTCACATGTAACAACAAAGGGAAAAATGCTTCTTGGTGGTAAGTCTTCCCTCTCTACCTCTGACTTCCTAACAATAGGAAAAATATCGCAATTGTGAAGGTTGTCAGAAGTAAGTGAACTGAAGTTCTGCCATAAGAACAGTTATTCCTATGTACGTATTGCCAACCCATCATAGGCTGAACCCTATTCATAACCTAGCACGACTTCTTGTTGGGGTGCAAAAATTTTAAAATGCTTGTGGAAGCCCTACACTTCAAGCATCAGCCTTTCCACAGGCTCCATCATTACAAAATTTTAACGAGCCTTTGAGCTTGTTATTAGTAAAATACCTTAAGGAATGGAGACACAAGAGGAGCAATCCTGCACTACCACATAAGTTCCAAAGTTGCTACAGAAATGTCAGCACTTTTCCCTATCTGCAATTCAACACCTGTTTCTAAGCACTCTCCTCTTACTTTTATCTGTTCCTGGCAGCCTTACACCCCCCTATTGCCAGTTCCTGAAGAGCAAATTGTCTGATGGCAGAGGGTCCTCAGGGACAGAGCTGAGAAAAGAGGAGGGCAGATGACAACTGATGTCAGTATGATACCACCCAATCAAATGCCTCATTTCTGGATCTGCCTTCTATGCTACAATGTCTGCAGATTTCACACACGGTCTGTACCAAAAGCTCAGAATATGCAAGAGATTGTTAGAACTTAAATAATCCATGAAATGTGTCACTTACACTTTTTATTAAACTTACAATTTTATAGTAATTCATAATTGTTCCGTATCATTTTAATGTTCAGCTCAGAAAAAGAACGACTGAAAAACACATTTTAACAACATTTTAAAAAAACCAAAAAAACTTGCCAGACACAGAAGCTATGTTTAGACTGGTAAGTTAAATTGGACCACAGGGCAATCTGTAGCATTAAAATACTAGAACAACCCCTAGCATGGTTTTGGCTTAAGCCAACAAGCACTTGTGAACAATTCACAGACACGGTCTGTGACTTAGCCCAGGCCAAGTGGTCATTCTCAACAGGAATTCTGTGTGTGATCATCATGCCTTGGAGATCAATAGTTTAATATCACATGCCAGACCATCGCACTTGAATTTGTTCAGACAGCAGGTCCTGATATTGATTATTTTGCTTATATAGAAATTCTCAGAAGGTTTTATTAGCATTGCCAAAGACTATCAACCCTCCTAAGCTTCTCTTGAGGCAATTCAGGGTAGGAAATGCAAAAGGACAAAGATACCATCTCAGGAAGCTTCTATCCTTTTGTTGAGTATAAGAGGAGTCTACAAGAGTCTCTTAAGTCAAGTACAGAAAGTTAGCACAAGGAAAGAAAGTCATCTGAAGAGCACTGGTATGCAAAATTAAGAACAATGAAGTCGTTACTGCAGTAAGAACCAGTGTGGGGAAATGTACTAAAAAGGAAGCAGTAAGGGCTACCACAGGTAAGTAGCAATCATCCTGACTCTCACTGGAGTTTTCTGGGGTTTTTAATGGCTTTTTCCTGCCTAACTAAAACCAGTCCATATTCCAAACTAGTAGTGAAAGAGCTGTCCTTAGTATTTCCACTCAACAAAAGTATTAGTGGACATGCATATACTCTTCGCTTCCATGTTTCCACTAGCTTAGAGGATGTTTATCCGTTTCATTAAGTAGTCCGTTTATATGATCTGACTTCATCCAGTCTGACAAACAATACCTGTGCAGCCTGTCTTGTAAGCACTGCGCTGATAAAAAGAGTACATCCCAGTGAAAAGTAACAGACTTAAGTATTTAGATTCAAAACCGAATTCTCCATTAGGCATTGACACGCTAACTTAACTTGCAAGCAGCACAGACTAAAAAACCAAGAACTCACCCAAATTCCAGAGAGGGTTAGGGTTTTTTTCTTTTTTACAGTCCTCCAAGATCTCATTCCTCAGCTTTACTGCTCTAGAACCAAAGCTGGCTTACTCATGTTTGTGTGAGCTTATGTTGACGACATACCCTTATATGGCTTACCAAACCATATTAGTCAAAACCTGCATAGTAAGTTTCTTCCAAAACAAACATTTCTTATAACGTCTGGTAATTACTTTTTCATTTTATCATCCTTTTGCAAGGCAAAAGAAAATACATCTTTAAAATATCAACCCTGATAACAGGCTACTCTGTGACCTAGACTTTATATTACCCGTTGGCTGACGAACATATTCCTAAGACTACCTTGTCTGGAAAGTTTATCAGGCATCAGACACAAATGAACTGTGGTTTTCAAAACCTGATGATAACTCAGCTGAGGTTATTGAAGGATACAGGAGTTACCAAACTGTCACCATCTGACTCAAGAGAAGACAGCAATGCTTAGTTTTCAGCTTTAAAGAACTTCCAAAAATTATACCTGCTTATAGTTTCCTCACCTTCATGGAGCTGAGATGCTATCATCTTGCCTGAGGATAGCAAGCTGATTATAGTAATTTTTTCTGGAATTTAAATAGATTCTCTAAAAGCCAGAGTTGCTGACTTAATTGAGTTAATCTGGATATGGTTAGAAGAAAAAGAAGTCTGACTTGGTTTTCAACTGTGAGAGGACTACAGTAACACAAAGGGGCTAGAAGAAGTATATACTTTCAAATTCCTGAAGACACTAACATAACCTCTCCTATTGCCAATTTGTTTGTTCCTCAATTCTTCTCCAGCTTAACCTTTCTCTTTCCACTTTTATCTCATCCCAAGAAATGGCTACCTAATTTCTTATGTCCATTTGACTGACTCACAAAGCCACAATTTCAGAAATTTTAAGTAAAAATGCACCATTTAAGTCACATACTGATATATAAAAAGTACATCAAGGAGTTAACATGTGGGATTATTTTATTTTAATTTTTGGGTGAAATTTGATGGGAATTCTATGAGCATCAAAATCTAAACGTATCTCAGCTATACTAACCACAATGTTTTACCCTTTTCCTGTGTCTTCTGGGGCAATTTCTTTTCTATCGAATATGGAATGACAGCTTTCACACATTACTTTAACATATTACTAAATTTCAAGAGGAATTTATGGAGAGATTCAAGCAATCCTTCCAGAAATAAATGTTAACTAAGGACTACAAAAATTAAGTAGAAGGAGACAGCTTAAAATAACACAAGTTAACTAGATTGGCTGCTACATTTTAGGATCGTAAGTCATGTTATAGGGAACCAAGTTGCTTGAGTAAATACTGGAGGAGGACAACATGCAATGGTTTTGTTACAGCTTGCTCAATAGAACTCCCGTTAACTGAAAACCAGACACTTTCTAAAAGGCCACTACAATGCTACCTATAAAAAAGCATGCAACAAAGAAGAAATAAAAGACACTTCCTCTTGGAACCCTAATCTAGACTTTCTGAACAGAATAAAGTCCAGAACACAAACATCATACTGTGTCTTTCAAATCCATGGGTTGTGACATGTTAGTTGGTCAATTAAAAAAACCAAAAAGACAAAAAACAACCTTCATAGTTAAATGCTTACCACTTTTTCAACATCTACTTCCTCTTCACTTGGGAAGTCAGAAGCACCATCCAGCATCTCATCAGCAGAATCATCAGTTTTTTCATCCTCTTCATCCTCATCATCATCTTCCTCTTCTTCCTCTTCCATATCATCAGCAGTTATATCAATAGTGGGCATGTAACCCTTTTTGTGATGCCTGGCTTCCTGTGCCCTCTGTTCTGGCGTCAGGAGGTCACTTTTCTCAGATGTATCAGCTTTGTTATCTGCCTCACTTTTATTTTCTAAAGCAGGTACAATGCTAGATATTTTGCTCCAAGAACTGTTGACATGTGTTACAATATCATGACCCGTTTTCATTTCTTCCTGAGAATCAAAAGCACCTTGTTCCTTGTTGTTACTACCTTCTTGCCTGGCTACTTTTGCTTTGCCTTCCTCGGTACTCACTGTATGCTCTTCTCCTGAAGCATTATCCTGCTCTTTTGCAGAACTGACTTCAGACTTACTTCCTTTTCTCTCTCTTACGCTTTCTGCTTCTGTAGAGCCCTTGTTCTCCTTCCTTTCTGTATCTGGCTGCATGGCACCACCCTGGCATTCTTGTTTGTTCTGAGACCGTTCAGTCCCTCTCTGTTCCTTCTTGTTTTCCAGCTGTGTATCTTGCTCTTGTTGACTCTCTGACTGCCCAGAACTTGCCTTTTCATCCTCCTTCAGCTGTGTCTGTGCATCTCCTTCTTGCTCTTTTACTGTTTTCTCTTCCTGTTCAGCATGTATTTGTTCCTTCCCATGGTTCTTCAACTGTGCAGTCTCCTGATTCTCGAGACTCTGTGAATGTGCATTATCCAGACGAGCAACTAAAGACTGATCTGATGACCCACAAACAGTTTCGGAGTGAGTTGTAACAGATTCCACTACAGTTTCAGAACTGAAAGAATCCTCTTTCTCCTCAGAGGCCCCTTTTTCTTCCTCATCATTTGGCTTCTCACTGATGTATGAATGGTCAGACGATATGACATCTGTGGAAACATCATGCTGAGAAGAGCTATCATCACAAGAACTCTCTAGCACCTTTGAGTCTTTCTCCACCATCTCTAACATAGTGGAATTTCTATCAGGTGTGATTGTGCCAGATGCCAACTCTTCAGTGTTATTTGACTTGTTACATGACAACTCATTTTCTTCTTGTTTCCTATCTGACACCGTGACCTCAGACTCTGTAACTTCAATGTCATCTGAGCATGAAGCTTTCCCATTCTCCTTCTGCTGAGCAGCACCCCAGTCTTCTTTCTTGCATATTTTCCTATAATCCTTCTTCATCTGAAGAGATGCAAAATGGTGAAGAATGGAGTTTGGAACAGTCTTCTGTCCCGGGAGCTGAAGTAAAGCAAAACTACCAGATTGTAAAGGTATGAGATTGGCAGTGGTAGCTGGCAGACCACCTGAGCCGCAGGTTATTTTAGACTCGGAGGCCGTTTGATTTGTCACGTTGCTAGCAGCAGGAGGAGAGATCCTCAGAGTCAGAGTGCCTGCCTGTGACACAAAACTTGTTACTGAAGGAAGAAGAGAAGATGCTTGAGTGGCTACGGTAGATGTAGGGGATAACTTGGGTACTGCAGTTTGTACAGCTGAATTTGAGGCAGGAGAAGTGGAAGACACGGACGAAGTGGGAGAAACAGGTGACTCAGGAGGCTTAGAAGGTGTAGGCAACCGGATTCCTACAACAGATCCTGTGAGAAAAACAAAACATCAACTAATACTTTCTCAAAGCAATTTTCTTTTAGTATTTGATGCTGTACTAGAAGTAGCCAGCATTCTCAAGGATCACGATGTAATCACGTATTTGACCACAAGTTCTCAGTGAAAGAGCTGGTACTGCATAAAGACATATAAACTTGAATTTTTATATGGAACACCCCAATAAAATACATGAGGTAGCTACTCTAAAACTAACAGATGCAATGGTAAGTTCTAACATTAAGCTTTTTAACCAAAAAAAGGCATTGCATTTAAAGACCTCTGCATTTTACTTTCCCATTTATTGGAAAATGGGGATTAAAAATTTAAAAATCCTTGTTTTCCTTCAGCAAAAGACTTCCACAGAGAAAAACTGTAACAAGATCACACCACAATCTTCTTCACCTTAATGAACTCCTCTACAGCATTTCAGAACGCCACAGAACAAGAAAAAAAATACCACCACTGGCAAGTAGTTTCTCTTGTACAACAGCATCCCCGAACTAGAAAGGAATTCAATGAAGTTCTTGACTGATTCTTTACTACAGCTCATGCTCAAAAACTTCAACTAAGGCACAGGATTATTTTCTGTCCACCCTGCAGTTTTGTCATCTACTGTGCTTGCTCTCGCCTCACTCTTCTCTTCCAACCCTGTCTTCAACTATGCACTAGAGAAACAGCTGAAAATCCACCTTAGTTTTCTTCTCACACTCTAAGAAGGAAAAACTCCAGAAATTTCATACTGTAATGTAACATTTGATCTAAATATCTTCTGTAAAAGTACTAACAAACCTGCAAACCAAACAAAAACAGAGCAGGACATCCAATGAAACACAGGTAAAAGCTAATTCTTTTTAAGGGAACCTCCAACAAGAGGTTGGAACAAGAATTGGTTTTGAATCACCAGATCAAGAGAATTTAAGTTCTGACAGTCCAATGGACGTGGTTCCATTGCCACACACATACAGGCCCTTTTAGTTGCTGCACAGAACTCCCAAATTTTGGTGACTTAGCTATTGACTGCGTTTTCTGTATTTTAGACACATGGTATTTACAATGCATTACATCTGAACAGTTACACTATGTTCTTCAACTACTCACACAGAACCAAATTCAACCCTGTTCAATTACTTCTGGAAGGGGAAAGGAGCATCACAGAGACATTTATTGTGATGTTAATTTCTGGGTAACACACTGGTCAGGCAAGAAAGAAACACTGGACTTTTACCTGGATTGCGGAACATCATTGGCTGCACACTAGGCTGGGCACCTGGAGCTCGAAACTGATGCAGAGGGACAAGCTGAATTATCTGCCCGTTCGGATGTCTGAACAGGTTCACACCACCAGGGCTCCTGAGAGGCTGAAGGACCATCCTCTGCCTCTGAGCAAGCTGCGTGTTGTTTAGCGGTCGCAAAGCAGGAGATGTCTGATGCACTGGAATCAGCAACAATCGAGGTCCTACGCGTTTCTCTGTTCCAGGAGACATCTTCTGGGGAGTCTTACTTACAGCTTGTGGAGTAGCATCTTCTGAAATATTTTTGAAGTTATATAAAAATCAGCTTAAGAGAACAGCCTAAAAATCAGGCATTATGCTTAATGAAAACAAGTGCAAATATTTGGGAAACAACTGGATCTCTTTGAACTGTTTGAAAGCATTTTTTTCTCTTTTTATTCACAGAACGAGAACCAGCCAGCCCAGAACAGTCTTTTTCACATGGTTCCATTGACATTTCTCAACCATGACTCAGAAGACTTCCATGTTAACGATGAGAGTAATTTCATACCTACTTCTTGGACTCTATGCCAACCGTGAAATTCTAGCAGTCATAGCGATAACTGTGCTATACACTTCTATGGGCCAAGAAATAATGTGAGACTTCCAGCTCATTTCACAGCAGTCACTGACCAGATAGCTACATTTTTTTCCTCCTCTACCGGCTCACACTGGACTAAAACAAGCAACTTAAGAGATTACATTTCTTACCCTGTTTTGGAAAGAAGCATGAGGCAAGTTAATCTGTATTTAATTTGGGTTCTACAGCTGCAGACTATTCCAGCTAAGAAGGAGGCAGAATGAAAAAAAGTAATAGCCCAAAGCACCTAAGCCTTACCTCTTTTTGGATTCAGTGAAGGACTTGAATTAACTCCTGATAATATAATCGGAACAGAGCCAGCAGAGGAAGTTGGTGTGGTCACCACAGATGTAGCTGTTGCAGTTGTTGTTAGTACAACTGTAGAAGTAGATGTTGTGACAACAGAACAAGCAACAGTTGTGGTTGTTACTACAGTTTTAGGGAATGATGTGGTTGCTACCGGTGCAACAATCCCTGTTGCTTTTGTTACGTTCACAGTGGCAGCAGGAGCAGTGGATGAGGGGGTAGCACAGGTATTGATTCCAGGTGTTGCAGGAGCAGCTGTAACTGTAACTGTAACTGCAGGAGGAGAGCAGGCAGGGTCATTAGCTCTTGCTTGGCTAGGAGCGGTCACAGTAGATGCTGCCACACTGGTACTCTCCACAGTAACTGGAGAAGTGGTGGTGGCTGTAGTGACCCCAGGAGAGACTGTGCACTGAGCTGGAGATGGCCTTGAGGGAACCACAGGAGCGACAACCATTATTGGCGTAGGCTTGATACTGAACTTCTGTGGCCCTGACAGAGGCTGGCGTGTGCTCACTCCAGGAATCTTCTGCTGCAGAGCTCCGGCTTTGTTCATCACAAACTGTGTGAACACACCACCAGGTGAGGGTCGGGCAGCTGCAAATAAAAACTTTCAGGTCAATTTTAGTAATTTCCTCTTTGCTTTTCATGACGTGCTACAATTGTAATTTTAGCATGAATTTGAGCCTCCATTTTCTTTGTACCTTGTAAGTATATTGAGACCTTTATGGCAGTCCAGAACATGCCTTACATATTAGAAATATGTCTGCTTTACTCCACTTCTATAGCTTTCTGTTGGATTTCTTCCTGACCACACGAAAGAATCAGGTCCTGAGGGATTGTTCTTTATCGTGAAACTATGAACAGACAATTCTAATTGCAGTACTTGAGAACAAACACCTAAGTGAAACAATGGACTCAAACTTTTCTAAACCTCAAACTCTTCCTGTAATAGCATGTATGATACTCCTCTTTTCACTGCTTCTTGGTTTTCACCCCCCTTCTACTGTATCCATGTCTTACACAGCCATGGGGGAGGGGGGCAGGAGGGAGATAAGAGTTTGCCATGTCCCCTTCTCACTGCAGTGACACTCGTGCAACTGGGGACTGGATGGGACAAATTTAACCAATGGGAAGTAATCACTATTGGGAAGATCCTTTCCCTCGTCCCTTGCTCTCCAAGGGATCGGAATACTGCATCTACATCACTGCAGATGCCTACAGATGAATACAACAGCACTGAAATTATGGAGCAAGCCCAACTTAAATATTGTAGTTATTTTTGCATATAGCATTTTTAACCCAAAATATGCCAGAACACATAAATCACATATGCAACAATCACTTCACCCATCAATGAAATGCAGCCAGCTCTTTAATATTGCATAAACACACAAAACAAGAAGTTTTATTATAGGACGAGAAAAACAACACACCCATTTACATGGCAATGAAAATTTAGGCAGAAACAAAACAATCAATCAGAAATTAAAGTTTTGCCAGGACACAGGTAACATCCTTTTCTCTTGCAAAGCTTCTTCAGATCTTTAATTAACGTGTGGGAATATGTGGATGGACACTAGATATTTTAATATTTTATTATTTTTTTTTTAAACTCATGCAAAATGTAATAGTTAAAGGCAACTTCCTCTCTTGCCATGCTGGGGTAACATTTCAGTACCAACTCAGACACAAGTACCACATGCTTCTTCCGATACTCTGTGGTTTTTACTCAAAGTGCTGACTAAGTCCAACCCTGTTTAGCTTGTGAAATCCAATGAGATTACAGGCCGGTGTGGTTATTGGCTGCACACCTGTTGTTTCGCTAATCCAGATTTGGACCATGTTGTCTTTCACTGCTGCTTCACACACCTCTGATGGTCACAAGAATTCCAATTGTAAGGGCAACATCATCAGAAAAACTAACAGCGAAGAACCACAGATTAGAGTGATCCTTTACTGAGTAAGTTAAATCGATGTTTGATGAAAAGCAATTAAAAATCATAGTAAGGAAACTCTCAAAACAAAAATCCAAGCTTAACATTCAGTGTGTCTCCATCCACTCTTCCTTGTCTCTTGAAAATACGGTCTAGTAGCATTAATAAAATAACTAATAGTCAGCATCTGTAATCTTACTCTGAGGTCAAAATAAAACTTTCTGCTTTAAAGAGGTTATTTATTGCAGAGGCAGTTTAGGTAGGCAATGCAGCCAAAGGCAGCATGCACTGTTGCACAGAAATCAACAGCAATGCTGTACACTCACTTTTTACTTCAGCTTCACGCAATTTAAAACACAATAATAAGTTGCGACCTACCTATCTGTCTCTGTGCTGGGACATGGGTTTTCAGAGTCGTCACAGGGGGGGTTGAAGTAGTGCTGGTGGAAGATGTAGTTTTGGGAGTTGATGTTGTGGGCACCTGGACTGATGGTGTCCCAGAAGCAGGTGCTTTAGCATTGGATGCTACCTTGGAGATCACAGTACTGAGGGTTGAGATATCAAGTACTGTGGGTCGCAGCCTGCCTGTGATATAAGCTGCTAGCCGATTGGCGGGATGTAATGCCCCCATCTGTCCCAAAAGCAGTTTGGCCTGAGGATACCTTTTATCATTAACCTGAAAAAAGTGGAAAAGGGAAATTTTGTGAAAAGAATGCTAATTCCCCGCCTCTGGAGAGGCGTTTCATTCCATGGGACTTGCAAGTGTCCTTTTCAAAAAAAACCATTGCATTTCAGAATGGGAATTCCTGATTTCCTTACTGCCCAGGAGAACTTCAAACAACCCTGTTGTATCTTTGTAACACAGATTTTAGATGCTACTCAGACTCTCACATAGAACCACAGAGTCCAAAGGAGCATGTGAAATCACTGAAATTAGATAGAGTGAAGCTAGCACTTATTTTTCCTGTTCCTTACTTATGCTACAGTCCTGAATAAAAATGGCTTCCCAAATTCAGGGACAGTTTTGGATAAAATCCTCAAACCTAATTAACATCTAGCATCACAGAAGAAAGAATAATGTCATATACATTGGGACAAAACTCTAAAAAGCTTGTAAAAGCTTTATCAGCTTTTTTCTTATCCGTACTGTCATTTGATACTGTAATTAAGGTATGATGATTTGACTAACTTCAAATTCAGAGTTGTAGTGGTAACTGACTGCATGGGAGAGAAGAAACAGAATATCTTTCTGAATGTCAGGCTTTATGCCTACCGGTCAACGGGAAGTTTTGGTAGAGTTACATTTTACTTTCAGGTTGTTTGTTAATACCTTCTAAAAGCCAAATATATTTAATACACCACTAAACAAGGTCTTGACTCTTTCCATTGACTGACTTCTATTAAAAATAAGAAATATCCCCCTACATTTTTTCTCTCCATTAGCTTCTCTTTGTGAGGGTGCCATATCTGCAAAGTGTCATGAAAATAAATTTTACTCTTATTTTCTAACTCATATGCCTTCTCTGAAAGTGGTGTTACTATAACCACAACTACCTTTGATTAAAAAAGTTCTTCATCCTAGCCCTACACTTCCTACCACCAATTCATAATACCAAGTTGGCAGCATGAATCTGTGCAGAAAGGACTCACTTTGAACTTAGGATTATGAATTCTCCTGATGAACACCATATATTCTGCAAAGAGGATGTAGGTTATTAGTGAAGATTAACAGTAAGCTGCAGTAAAAAGCAATTTAATGTTTACAGTTTCAATTCAAAGTTTTGTCCCAGTGTACACTTCCTCAGAAAACATTCTTTTTGTGGCCTCTAACAGCCATTCTTTTAGAAGTATTATCTGTCAAATGCATCTACAGGGAGTTTTCCAAAGCACCAAAAAGATCTTGAGAGAGATCCTCTACTTGGGCCACCAAGACCCAAACAGCCAAAAGGACAAGCTAAACCATCAGATTTCAGACTTGCAATCAGATTTCCTGACCTTGAAAGGGACAAGCTTGTGAGAGGCAGGAATCCCACCAAATACTAAGAATCCTTGTCTGGACAGGCAAAAGACTAGGTAGACAAACTAAAGAGTGTTCTCCCCTTCAAAGAGTTCTGGGATACTGGATGAAACTGAAGCTAGTCTCCACAGTAAAGGCAGAGGGACCCACCTGAATCAAGCCTGAGGGGCTCATATTAGCTTTGCGTTTGTAGACGACCAGCTTTCCTGCAGGAGAAACTCCTGCATAAAAAGGCAAGCCTTTGCCCCCATGCAACTTCTCCCGCAGTTTGTCCAATGTGTCTGCCCGTAAGAACTTTAGATTTTCTGGGGTTTTGCGTGACGGCACTCTGCTATCAGGAGTCTCCAAGACAGGTATCTCAGGCTTCTCATCCTTGTCCTGGTAGGATGGCACTGAAATTTTCACTCTGGAGGAGTAGACAGGAGGGTGGTTCTCATCCTGGGCCTTGTGTTCTGAAGCCAATTCGATAATGAAGCTACCCACTTTGAGGCACTGTGGTGCGTTACTGTTGATACGTTGTGATAAGATGGTCAAGACCTTATTGTGATCTTCCTCCCAGTTGCAGTCAGAGATAATCTCGATAAGTTTGGTTGGTCCACCTGGAGTGGTGTGATGAACATAGGAGGTGGAAGAGTCCCCCTCACTATGGGAAGACCACCAGCTTTTCTCTGAGAAAGAATTGAAATAGGTTTCTGCAATACTATGGCATTTTAATCACCTGGATATTCAAACAGTTTTATTCTGCCCACACCTCCACCCTTGTCTCAGCTGCAGGGCAACAAGTAAAAGAACTGTTCAAAGCCTCACTTCCCCTCGCAGAGCTTCACAAGCAAGCAAAAACTCACTGCAAAACTAATGTAACTATTTCTCACAGTTCATTACCTGCAGCCAGACCATCTCAGGTTGTATCCCATTGCATCACAAGCTAAACGAAGCTGGGTTGTTTCAGTACATGGATGAAAGATCTCCAAGCAACACCAACATGCAGTAGAAAGCACCGCTGGTTATTCAAGAGATGGCACTTTTCTCTTGGAGTCAGAAAAGGACCAGTGTCCTATAATGGCATGAGGAGCAAACATGCCACTAGCAGAACCGTCTTTTGCAGCAGATGTGTAACAGAAGCACGACCTTTTGTTGTCATTAGAGATCCAACGTCACTTTTTGCAAAACTGTAAGGATGTTGAGCTCTGTGTCCTGGCCATTTTAATTTCACCTACCAATTCACCAGCATTTTCAACTAGTTGTATTATTTTTCCATTCCCATCCTTAAATGTAGAGTGCGCTGTTGTATACGTTAAACAGTGAAAAAATACAGCTCAAAAAGGCAGCTATATTTCATTAGTGGATGACACAATGCCTATAGTATATGTCTCATTTTAAAGTCCATAACATGATTTGGGCTATTTCAGACTGAAGGAGAATACAGATGTCTAGCCTACTTCTTTATGAACTAGAAACTCAAACCCAGTATATGTAACATAACAAAACTTCAATTCAACCTTTCAACTTGAACTAAAAGAATTCAATATCAACTCCAAATAAAGTACAGGCGCTTCCTTGTCTCATACGGTTCTAAGTGAAGAACATTGAGTATCCCATCCTCACAGTACGACTTGGATATTTATTAATTCTTCAGTAACTACAAAGTAATAGCAAGGGGAAAAAAAAAAAAAAAAAAAAAGAGGTAAAAAAATCCCCAGACAAACCATGTACAGTGATCTCCACTCCTTCCCAAGTATCTAATTATCACTCTTGAAGATGTGTCTGCTGTGCAGTATTATCTTTTATTGCTAAACAAGCTACTGTAATACTGGTCATTTTAACCTTAGAGCAACAGCAAGTATGGGATATTTAGCCTGCTGTACCTCCCATGTGACAGACACACAACTGCTTAAGAAAACAGGAAACTGCAAGCACATCATAAGATTTTTATTGACAACAGTAATAACTCCCCCAGCACACAGACTTGTTTCATCAATAGGTCCACCTTTTTAAAAATATAAAGCCAACACACACACACACAAAAAAAAAAACAAAAACCAAAAAACAAACCCCACAAAAATGTGGAACTACCAAGAAGTTGAATTATACTCAAGACTCAGCTCTTACCTCTCGATTTATCACTGTCTTTGTCTGTCTCACAGGTTGCTTTCTCTGGAGTCCGAGGCTCTGGTTCATGCTCCTGCAGGAGGAAAGCAATGCAAGAAAGATATTCATCCTGTGTATCTCTCTTCCACACTAAAAATCCCACCGCAAAATAAACTGTGTTCATCATACTGTCACCACAGATCATAAAACATGTGCTAAATTTGACAATGCTACAATTTCATCTTAGAACAGCTCCTTTAACAATGAACATGTAAGCCTTACTTGATAATGCACTTGGCAGCCAGGAATTTCCTCACACAAGACAATTTCTATTATAGTAACAAGAGAAGTCTACCAGCACTGCTAGGTGATTTACGCTCCAAGTTCCACAGCCCTATCACCATGAAATATAAGTCAAGCCCTCATGTCACGTAGGAGTTTCTGGGGAAAAAATTACTTCAACATTTTCAGTATTTCTGCCTGTTATACGATACATGCTAGTTACACTGTAACTTCTTACCTTTACACTAGAACTCTGTGAATCACTTTTGTCTTTTTGTTGCTTTTTCTCCTCTCTCCTGCGTTCATATGCTCGGACCCTGGCACAAGTCATCATACTTTCAAAGTACAAGTAGACAGGATCCTTGTCCTCCTCTCGAATCTACCCAAAAAAGAAAAAAGAAAAACAAAGAAAAAAAAAAGATAAGAAATCCTGTCCATTCTAGATGCACATTAGATTCATGAAAATTTTGCTTTCTAACAACACTTCAACATTAATGCTTCAATAGTAAATATCAAAAGAAAGGTCTACTATTTAAAGCTGCATCTGCCTTCTTAGTATCACGTAGCCCAGTCTGTATCTTGCTTCCAAATTAAATTTTTGAGGGGAGGGGAAGGGGTGATGATGACACAGAACACTACCACCATCCCCAAAAACGCAAACCCATTCAGGTACTTTTCTAAGTGGGAAAACAAGTCCTAACTGTCATGTTTAACATTATCTGGTATACATTAAATAGCAATTCTGGTCCATTTGTCTAGACTCGGCTCTACTTCTGCTCTTCCTCTACTAATGCTGTTGCCTTTGTTAGATACTAAGGTGAGGGGAGAGGCAAATGCAGATTCTTCCAACATTGGCAGTGAAACCTCAAACAAGAACAGAAAAGAGACTTCAGAACTACACTGAACACTGTTGTGCCTGCATTCCAATTTGTTTTGCAAGTAATTCATTAAGCAGAGAGGCTACATTATGCGTCTAATAACTTAAACATTAAAGGATCAGCAATCATTTTGCCAGAAATAACATATATTATTGCATATTTTTAATTGAGGCTATTAGTGAATCATAATCACCTTTCATCATCTGCGTATTGCTACAGTAAATTCTCAACAGAAGATGGACATAGTTAGAGATTTATACCTTCAATTCATACTAACTTATCAACATACCTATGAGCTGTCAGTCTTAGGCTTTCCTCTCAAATTTCATCTAAAATGGCCTAGCACAGAAGCTTTTAGCAGTGTTTGTTTTAATTTTCAATACAAAGAAAAACAAATGCGTTTCTTTTCTTACCACTGGATTGGGTTTAGGAGTATACACTCTGCCTGGTTTCATTCCACTGGAAGATCTATGCCTACTAGAAAGCAAGACTTCTGGGTTGGGCAGTAGCGCAGATTTAACTGGCTCAATAACAGATGGTGTTGGGATGTAAATTGGTTCTGGATCAATTTCACCTTCTACTTTCACCCACAATGGACAATTCCTTATAGGCTGTTCTGGCTCGGAGTCACAGATAGCTGGAGAGTAAAACAAACAAACAAACAAAAAAAAACAAACGAGGGGAACAGGATACAACAACTTAGTTATAAATGAAACACCATCTAACACAGCAGTAACAGAAATTCAGCAATCACTAGCTCATACTGCCATAAAATACTACTGGTTGTTTTTCTTGTCTCGAATTCTAGCAAAAAGTGACCGGGATTTGTCCACAAGAAAGAGAAAATTAAGATAAAAATTATTCTACGCTAAACATTGTTTCTCAGTTGTATCAGCAGATACAGAGAAACACTGAAGAACTAGCAATCTTCATTAATGCTGTATACTTAAAAATTATAAACACCGCCAAAACCCGACTTTATACCACGGCTCTATGAAAGAATCCATTTATCCCAGTGAAACACCGGATAACACTATGTTCATTTTTAGCTATTGCTAGAAGTGCTACTAGCAAGAAAGTAAACGTGTAAATTCACAGTCAATTTCTACCAATTTGGTTTTCTGAGCATACCTTAGGCCAGATCTGAAACTACTGTAAATCACTGTATTTCCACTGAAGTCAATAAACTGTGCAGCTATATACAACTGAAAATACAGCTCTAGATAATCACTTAAGAAGGCAAGAAAACAGCACTAGGACAGTGAAGATTACGAACAGTGATAGCAGTAATTATCTCCTATCCTCAGTCTTTAAAGATATTTGGAGAGTTGAGCAGCAGTTTAAAAACAAGGGGTGTTATATGCTGGTAGCCAGCTATACGAAAGCAGATGTTGCAGACATCTCTTGAAATTCACTCCCAATTTCTGGATTTAGAAACGGCACTGTCCTGGTTTCAGCTGGGATAGAGTTAATTTTCTTCATAGTAGCTAGCATAGTGCTGTGTTTTGGATTTACTACCAGAAGAATGTTGATAACACACTGATGTTTTTAGTTGTTGCCAAGTAGTGCTCAGACTACTCAAGGACTTTTTGAGCTTCTCCTGCTCGCCCAGGTACATAAGAAGCTGGGAGTACAGCACAGCTAGGACAGCTAACCCAAACTGACCAAAGAGCTATTCCATACCATATAACGTCATGCTCGGGGGTGTG